TGAATCAAGATTATAGGTAAAATAAAAGAAGATACAAACTAAAGAGTATTTACTGTGAGTTGAAGACGCTACCACCAAAACTAACGAAGTTTCATATAATTTGCCAACCCCCATTTTACACCTATTTTGAATTGAATTTAAAAAAAAACCTTTCTTAGTGCGCACCCACGTTACATACAGAACATTTGTGCAAAATTTCATGCTTCTAGACTCAACGGTTTCAGCTATAGGTTGATCGATCATTCAGTCTATCAATCTGTCAGTTTATTCTTTTATACGTATACTAGCTGACCCTGCAAAAGTTGTTTTGCTATTTACATTACTTAAATTATTATTTTTTGAATTTCTTAAAATTCGTTCTTAGCTGACCTCTACTCGGTGAAAAGAATATTCCTACCAAATTTCAAGTCTTTAGCTCTAATGATTCCAGAGATATCGTGATGAGTGACTATATACGTGGAAATCTCATATATATATATATATATATATATATATATAGATAAATTGGCATCATAATAATTATTGACACCATTTAACACACAGCTGCTGTGTTCATTTAACAAGTCCGCCCATAGTACACTAAACACGCTTTATACATATATTATGGGGCCAAATAACTATCGTACTCCATGGTACTTTATTATTGTAAGCTAATCATAAATTTAAATATCTTGTCACTGATATTTAAATATTCAATGTTGCGTGAATAGTTGGGTAGACAGCAGAGACCTCCCGGAGTGGAAATGAATTCCTTTCCTTGAGATAATCCATCGCAAGACAGAATATGTAAGATATTTTATCCATTATATCAAATTCCTTCACATGAGAAGAATAATATATTCATTGTCGTAGATATACAACTGTAATTTTAAAACGATAAATAATAAAATTCAGAAAACTCGGTGAGGAATCACCGAAGTCTAGCCAGAACCTGCTATTTTGGGACCAAATTCTGATACTTACAACCACAAAGTTTTGCTGTCGTTCGCATGAGGAAACTTTTGTCTATGATAATACATAAATTAGTTTTAAATTAATCAATATTTTTTTGATACACAGAAACGAATTCGTTCGTTTAAAAACAAGCTGTTAGATTCTGTCCATACGACCCTTTTTTTTTTTTTTTTTAACGTGTGGAAATCCCCTCGGACCGTCTCCCCTCCAGGGTTTGCGGCGGGGTGGTGTGTCGTACTCGGACCGACTAAAACCACACGGTGTGCCACTCTGCGCCTGTAACAGGAGGGATACTGTCCATACGACCCTGTTACAACTTGTCGTACTTAGTACTGTAATAGAAATGGACACTTATCTTTTACCATTTAAACAAGTTTTGTTTTTCTAATCAGTATATACCGTACAATAAGTGTGGCATGTGACAATGATGTAATATTTAAATGGCTTTATGTAAAGGGCCGCCCATGCAGCTTTTACGACATATCCGGCCCATGGTTTAACAGGTCTTATATAGTAATATTGCTTAGACATTGATAAAGCAATTTACGATTGTTGCCCTCTTTTTAGGGTCCCTTACGCCGTAACGTAAAGATCAAAGCTCTCAATAAGTCTCAATAAATTACCTTGGGTAAAATTTTCCAAAAAAAAGGGCCAATTGCTATTTACTTAGAAATCTTAATATTTTGGGTATAAATTTATATTTGCAGCTGAAAGGAGAACGGCAGATCCTGTACCCCTAGTTATATATAATAATAATAATAATCATTTATTTCAGGTAAATACCCATAGAAATTACATTTTTACAGTTTTCAAATCATTCAATAACAATACTAAAATTAAATTAAAATTAATTAAATCTCATTTATATTTTAATATGATGGATGATTTTCAAATTTGTACTGCTTTTAAGCATTACTAACTATTTTCATCTAATAATCATATTTTTAGAACTTTGCTAAATGTAACAAATTCATCTCAAAGAATTGTTACAACTGCAATAACTAAACGTTCAAGTGTTGTTAACAAAACGCATTCCTACGTTTTCTAAACTTGCCAAGCCTAAAATATAAAAACTATATGTTTACATCAAGATTGATGAATGAGCTCACTTAGTGTATTTAAACAAAAAATTCTTTATTAGTTGACTGAACGGATTAGACGAAGTATGATTAAAGGAAATAATTTAAGGAAAGGTACTAATAACTTTTATTCAAATCGTAAACATTATGAAAAAAAGTAATGAAACTGACTTGACAGGGCATCAGTTTATTGACGGATCAAAAAAATCATAAACGAATGATTTTGAAAGATATTTAAGTTAACCTTTTGGCATTAGTGACATCCAGTTGTCATTGGTATTGACTTTAGTGCAGATTATATGCAAACTACAAACTGAAATAACTTTGGAATGCAAAATTCTAAAAATCCGGTAATTAAAATTGTAGATGATATTACCAGCCCAATAAATACAACAATAATCCCTACCATGAGATACGCAAGGCGGTACAAAAGTCCCACATGCCTGCCATTGTTCTTTATGATAGAATATCCTCCTCAATTGTAAAATTAAGTTTGTTATTTAAATGAATTAATTATTGGTACTCAAAACTAGCGTGTATGAGTGACGGTAGGTGCGAGTTTATTTCACATCTACTCGATCGTCGCGGTGTCCGCGTTCGGCGCTGTGATTGGCCCGCACTGAAATCTCCACCAATCGCAACGTCGAACGAGCTCGCTGTGGAGAGCGAGTCGATGTGAAAACAACTTGCACTAGGCCCTCAGGTGACATATCTATTCGTTTGACCCTCTATATTAAAAAAGAAAACAAACCAGCCTAGTACAAGATTGAGGTTTCGGCTCGAAATATAACTCTTTATAATAAATATGTCAGAATATCAGCCATTTATATACGTCACCTTTCAACGTATCATCTACATACCGCACTGACAGCCGAGGTCGTTTTATGTCACTTCTCGAATTTGACATTTATGCCGATGCTCAAATTGTATTCCGACCTCAATGGCATGTGGTAGTTACCTGACTAATTATATATTTATAGCAAAAATGAGCAAATCCTGAAAATCATTATTTTCTCCTACATTTGAAAATATTTATAACCTCCATTTCCTATTGATCGCGGGGGACTCTACAAACATACATGAAACGGACACAAAGAACAACCAGACTCAGAACAATAACTTGTGGATCACACAAAGTGTCGTCCCATGTGGGGTTTAACCCACAACACTCGGCATAGTAGGAAGCGGCGTGGCGAACGCTTAAACCACTACGCCATCCGTCGAATAATAATAATAAATAAATAAATTGATGTATATTATTATATAAATACAGTATCTTATATATAAAATTCTCGTGTCACAATGTTAGTTACCATACTCCTCCGAAATGGCTGTACCGATTTTTATGAAATTTTGTGTTTTTTTTCAATATTTCCTAGAAATAATGTATCTGGCAAAACAACGTTTGCCGGGTCAGCTAGTATTATATAAAACAATTCTCAAATTCATTAAAACAAAACATATCTGACAGAAAACTGTGCTGTATTTTCATACATTAGAATTTTGATGAAATTATTACTTATCTACAAGCCTAGCTCATTTATTATTTAACTGGTCAGAAAAATAGAGAATTTTGAGTGAACACAGAATCAGAAAAATAGATAATTTTGAGTTGTATTGAAAACTTGATTGATCAAACCGTTTTCTGAATAATAATCACAGTGTCGCGGCGTACATTTAGTTCTTATTCATTATTATTATTCTATTATAGCAGAATGAATGATTTTATGTTCTTATTAATATATTTAAATCCCTAATTAACTATGCCTTCAGCATCGAGATAGATTCATAAAGTACTATAGTATCGCGCTTATTATTTTGTAACCAAAACTGATTTAGCTCTTTGTTTTGAGATATAGTATAATTACTTTTTGGTATGCTAATATCTTTTAACTAGTTCGTCGTTTTGTTTTTGAAACCTTTTTTAATGATGCTCGACTCCCATTGGTTGAAGCGTAATGCGCCTATAGCCTTCCTCAAAAAATGAGCCACTCAAAACTAAAAGATTTTTCCAATTCGAGTAAGTAGTTCCTGAAATTAGCGCGTTCAACCAATAAAATAAACAGAAAAACTCTTCAGCTTAAACTATTAGTATAGATTTGATTCATGCTATAATATTATTAAGTGCTAACGACAAATGACATTAAAATAAAAAGGAAAGTGTTATTGTTTGTCTGTCATCAAAAGTTCCCACACAAACAGCTTAACCAATTCATGTAGAACTTTCACTTGATAACACAATGTCCAGACAAATGTCTTAATCACGCTCCGACGCGAACATGTTCGTAGTTTGTTTTCATTCGTAGAAATAGGTTGGAGAAATAGTATCTCTTATAAAATAGTCAAAATAAATAAAATTGTGAGATATACGAGAATCGTACGCATGATATAACAAAGTTGTAGAATTTCTTCTACGTTTAGACCCTATGTCTCTAGATGTATTGGTTAAGTAGAAAACAGACTAATGTTTACCCTCTTCTAAAGGCAAATTATGCCGTACTCATATTCCTTGTTTTCTACTGAAGAACAATAACAATAATAATAATATATCTCACACACGGCCGTCTGATCCCAAACAAGGCAAAACCTGTACTATGGTAACCAGACTGCTGATAAACATACTTATATATTTCTAAATACATACTTATTATAGATAAATTACACCCAGACACAGAACAAATGACCGTGCTCATCACACAATATTTGTCCTGGGTGGGAATCGAACCCACGACCTCCGGTTTAGCAGTCAGGGTCAGTAACCACTAGACCAACAGGCTCGTCAAATTACTTCTTCATTAATCCAACGATAAGAGCGTCAGATAAATCTCGATTTACAATTTGATTAGTGATTATGATAAGTGATAAAGAAAATACATATATCGCTATTTTGATTCAAAGCTCAAGAATAATATTTTTTAACTACCTGAAGCATCAGTCACAAAATAAAATTCCTACCTTTGTCCACAGATGCGACTCAGACCACACAGCTGAGATGCTGTACACGCATCTCCAAGCCTTGATAGAACGCCCAGAGAATCAAAAGAAGTTCGCCGACATCGAGCGCAAATTACAAATGAGAGGCGCTCTGCCTTCTTCGAAGAAACCCCCAGATTCATCTCTGGGGAGCGAAGTATCCCGAGAATCGGATTCTGGGAGTAACGAAGAAAGATGCGTGGCCAATTTGTATGACAGTCTCGCTGCAGAGTTGAAGCAAAAGTTGTCTACAGGTAAAAAGGGCTTAGGTCAGTTATTTTGTTTATTTTTCGTAGGTAGAACGCTTCCTGTGCACCGGTTTCGGTATGGTATTGTGCTTTATTTTATTATTATACATAAGTACATGATATGTAGTATTATCTTCTATCGCTTGATATTACCGTAAATATAATTTGCTTTAGTAAAATATCAACAATAATTTAACAAATACAAATCAATATTTGTTTCTTCATATTTTGTGTGTCATATGTAGTATTGTTCATGTGATCATCGTGACATTTTGCCAGGGATATTGCCATTATCATCACATCACATCAACCGCCTTTAATAGTCCACTGCTACACATAGGTCTCTGTTTAGAAATGAGGTTTTGGTCCATGCTGGCCAGACGGGTTGGTAGAGGGTTTGTGTCAAGTTTTTCTTCTTTTTGTACTTCTGTTGTCGTGCGTAGTTTTTACGACATCCACGGGATGAATAGGTAGAACATTCTATATTCCGTGACTACATGGATAGTTATATTGCCGAACCTTCAATTTATTCACAAAAAAAGTATTGTTTAAATTAAACTTAATCCCTAAGTAAATTTAATTTCAAGATCTATTGTTGCAAATACCCCATGATATGGTCCAGTTGCCGGCTCACAAGTAACACCCAGGCAAGCTGAAACATTTTTATAAGGTCATTTGTTGTAGTCTACGGTGACTTTTTGGACTCAATAAGATATAGTCTGTAAGCTAAATATATTGGCCTTTTACATCAGATAGTTTAAATAGCGTCTTTGTGGCAACTTTTAATATGGCTGTGTAGTCCGATGCGAGATTAATTAAGTTCAAGAACAAATCGAATATCTACTCGTAAATGCCTTTCGGGCTCGATTCGAGAGGCAGGTCAGCATTCGATCTACCATTTTACAGATCGTTTTAGAAAACAGCGAACTATAAACACCAAATTTATGTTGTTAATTTTCATCATCATCAATCATCAACAGCCTTTACTAGTCCACTGCTGGACATAGGCCTCTTATTAGAAAGGAGGTTTTGGCCTACTAAACGCTGGCCAGACGGGTTGGTATAGGGTTTGTGTCAAGGGGTGCTGGCTAGAAAACCTCCCCGTGGTGCACCCTGGAAACGCTGGCGATGGTACTGTTTCCTCCTTGTCCTCTTGGAGGAGAGGATTATCGCCAGCGGCCAATATTCTAGCAGAAGAGGCAGCCGTTCATCGGCTCTCGGGCAAGGCCTGGTCCAGCAGGGTGGGCGTGTCTGCCGGTTGCCCTGCTGGCTCTTCGCTCTTCGGAGCATGGAGGAGGAAACCTCGGTAAAAAACCTGATGGCGGGGCCCTGTAGGGGCCACAGTTTTCTCCGCTGATAGCGGTGGAGAAAGGAGGACGGGCTCGGCGTGTACTCACACTACCACCGAGCAGGCAGGGGGACGTAGTCTCCCTGTCAACCGTCGGCATATCGTAATCCCGAGAAGAGCGCTGTGGTTAAGTCTCGCGGCTCTGATCGGGGGCGAGGGTCTTGGCTTAACCGCCCGGACCGCGAGGAAGATAACCTCTCTAAAAAATTCCCCGAATCCCGTGTTCTGGTGCGTGGCCAGGGGATGCATGGCTGATGGGAAGTTCAGTCGCGAGCGCACTCCAAGCCGAGGTACCTGCGGACCCCTCGGTTGGGTTAAAAACTTACGCTTGCCCGGGTAATGGGGGATCTCTGCCCGGGTGGACCTTTTAGTTCTCCCCCACTCGTGGGACTTATTATGGAAAATATTAACTCAAACATTAAAAAGACGATCGGAACCAACCAACAAACGAAAAAGGCAAGCCTAAAGGACATGAAAGCAAAAGGAAGGAAGGACAAGCAGAACAGTGGAGCGGATGGGTCGTCCACTGAGGGCGAGATGGTGTCAGGAACGCCTATCTCGATGGGGCTCCCAGAGGTCAGTCTGACTCTGGTCACTGGGAGCCGAAGAGCATCGGATCGGCTGCGTTCCGGATCCGCCGCTTCATCGGATGGCGCGGAGGCCATGGAAGCGGAGCGGAGCGACAGCCGGAAACGCGGACGCTCCAGGGAGGAGGGGACCGACACGTCCGGCGAAATGATGCCACCAAAGGTGGCCAGCAGCCGCCGAGGGAGGGCGCGTAAACCGGCCTCGGCCTCGGTCTCGACCCCGTCAGGCTCCGCGTTCTCAAACGCGGAGTCCTACAGGAGCATACGAGTGGACGGCGAGGCCGTAGCGGAGGAGGAGATCGCGGATCTCCTGCTCAAGGTTCGGGAGCCGGTGGGGGGAAATGCCCCCCAGGCTCCCGTGTCCGTGCAGGAGAGGGCGAAAGCGGCGGTGGCCGTCATCGACAAGGTGGCCACCAAATCCGTGAACCTTAAGGGCTCGTTTGTGAGGGCCCTTAAGGACTCCTCCTCCGCTTTGTCGGAGGTCGTGGAGGGCCTAGCGGGCGACGTCTCTCGCCTGCAGGTGGCCAACGAGAGGCTGACGGAGCGGGTGAACGAGCTGAGTGCTCAGTTCGCCCGCTTCCAGGCGAACCTCCCCGAGCGGGAAGCCCCGTCCGCGTCCCAGCCTGCCCCTACCACCAACTCAGGGGCATTTGACTCCCAACTGCGAGAAATCCTCATCGCAGTTGGGAATATGCTGGACGGACGCCTGGCTGGCCTGGAGGCGAGACTGCCCCCTGCGCCGAGTATGCGCCCCCCGCTCGCGTCGGCACAGCGGCCTAAGGCCGCCGCTCCGACCGCGCTGCCCGTAGTGGGAGGCCGCGTCTCCTACGCGGCGGCGGCGTCTGCCCCGACTCCATCGGCTCCCCAAAAGCCGAGGAGGGGGGCCAAGGCACCGGCCCAGGCGCCGGCCAAGGCACCGGCTAAGGCGCCGGCCAAGGCACATCCCCAGGCGCCGGCCAAGACGGGGCCTAAAACGGCGCCGAGGAGCGGAGTGGCATTCCCTCCGCTCCCCACTCCGACACCCCTGCCGGGCCCCTCCGCACCTGCCCCCTCCAACGAGGGTTGGCAGGAGGCGAGGGGCTCCAAGAAGTCCCGAAGGCGGGCCAAAAAGGCTGCCAAAAAAGCAGCCCAGGCCCAGCCTTCGCCACCGGTGGCAACGGCCTCCACAAAGAGGCCGCGGAAGCTGCAGCCGCCCAAAACCGCGGCTGTAGTGGTGACCGTGTCCCCGGAGGCGGCGGACGGCGGGCTGTCCTACGCGGCCGTCTTCAAAAAGGCCCGGGACAGCCTCGCCAACGACTTCGGAACGGTGGGGGTCAGGATGCGCCTCGCCCAGACGGGTGCTCGAGTTCTCGAGTTCCCTGGGGCTGAAGGCGCAAAGACGGCGGACTCCTTCGCTGAGAAGCTGCGGGGAATATTTGCAGCCACAGATGGTGTCAGGGTCGCCAGGCCTACCAAGTGCGCGGAACTGCGCATCTCGGGCCTGGAGGACTCAGTGACGGCCGAAGATGTCCGCGCTGTAATCCGGGAGAAGACGGGGTGCAGCGCGGACAACGTCAGGGTCGGCACCATCCGCCCCGGTCCAGGAGGGCTTGGCGCCGTGTGGGTCAGCTGTCCCGTAGCGTCGGCCAAAGTATTGGCCGACGCCGGCAGGCTGCTCATCGGTTTCGTGAGCGCCAGGATCACAGTCCTGGCGGCGAGACCGATGAGATGCTACAAATGCCTGGCATCGGGACACACGCGCGTCAAGTGCGACAGTTGTTTTGACTGCGGCGGACTGTGTTTCCGCTGCGGTCAACCGGGGCATAAGGCGGCAGAATGCTCTGCCGCCCCTCACTGCCCAGTGTGTGCGGCGGGCAATAAGCCCGCCAATCACCAGATGGGGCAGAGAGGCTGCAAGCCTCCCCGCAGTTCTCGGCAGACGTCGGGGGTTAGCCAGTCGACCCAGGCTGCCTCCGATGTAGTTCGTGCGTCGACGTCGTCGCCCATGGAGGAGGTTGTAGAGACGATCCAGTAATGGATCAAGTCTCCAACCTCCTGGTCCAGACGAACCTGAACCACTGTGCCGCGGCGCAGGATCTCTTCCTGCAAACCATGGCACAGTGGTCGATAGGTGTTGCCGTAGTCGCGGAGCCCTATTCTGTCCCTCCCCGTCCAAACTGGATGGGTGACTGGGACGGCTCCGTGGCAGTCGTCGGTTCCACGACGGCTCATTCCCCGCCCTTGTCGCTAAGAGACAAGGGCACTGGATATGTTGCCGTCGAGTGGGGGGGGATCACCATATATGGTGTCTATTTCTCCCCCAACCGGAGTTTGAACGACTTCGAGGTTTTCCTAATCAGCTTGGAGACCTCGATACGGCGACTAGCGTCTGGGCACGTCCTTGTGCTGGGGGACTTCAACGCAAAGTCCATTGCGTGGGGTTCCCCCAGGACGGACGCCAGGGGCGAGGCCGTAGAGGAGTGGGCGGCCTCGGTGGGCCTCTGTCTTCTAAACAGAGGCTCCACCAACACGTGCGTGCGACAGCAGGGGGGGTCGATAGTGGACCTCTCGTTCGCTACCCCTGCCCTCGCCGCACGAGTAAGGAACTGGCGTGTCCTGGAAGAGGTTGAGACGCTCTCGGATCACCTGTATATCCGATTTGAGCTCTCCCGGACCCAGGACTCCAGTAGGGGTCACGTGGCGCGGCGTTTATCCCGCTTTCCGCGGTGGGCTGTTGCCAGGCTGAACCGGGACCTACTAGAGGAGGCAGCCATAATTCACTCGTGGCTGTCTCCTCAGGCTCCGACCGAGGAGGTCGACGTGGGGGCTGGCCGCTTTCGCGATGCGATTACGCATGTATGCGATGCGGCCATGCCCCGCGTTCGAGGTCGTCGGCCTCCAAGGAAGGAGGTCTACTGGTGGTCCCAGGAGCTGGCGGACCTCCGTGCGGCCTGTACACGTGCCCGGAGGTCCTACACACGCAGTCGGCGGCGTCACCGTGGAGACGGTGAGGAGGACCGGCTTCATGAGGAGTACCGGCGGGCGCGGAAAACTCTGAAGCTGGCCATTAGCCGCGCCAAAGAGGAAAAGAGACAGGAGATGCTGGAGGGTCTTAATCGTGACCCCTGGGGTCGCCCTTACCGCGCGGTGCGACAAAAGCTCCGCGCGTCGGGCCCCCCCCTTACGGAGACTCTCCAGCCCAGCTTCCTGCGAGAAGTGGTTGAGGGCCTTTTCCCACAACGAGCGGAACACACTCCCCCGTCGATGGCCTCCCTGGCCGGAGACGACGGGGAGCACGGGGAGGACAATGTTCCGCCCGTCCGGGATTCGGAGGTAGGGGCGGCTGTTCTACGGATCCGTTCCAAGAACACCGCCCCTGGGCCAGACGGGGTACCGGCCCGAGTGCTGGCCCTGGCCCTCAACCACATGGCAGACCGCCTCGGGGAGGTGTTCGACGCTAGCTTGGCGTCGGGACGCTTCCCTGAGTGCTGGAAAAGCGGGAAGCTGGTCCTATTGAGGAAGCCGGGACGGCCAGCCGATTCGGTCGCGGCCTATAGGCCCATCGTGCTGCTGGACGAGGCGGGCAAATTGTTTGAGAGGGTTCTTTCTGCCCGCATCGTCCGGCACCTCTGCGAGGTGGGCCCCGATCTGTCGGACGCCCAGTTTGGTTTTCGGGCGGGGCGTTCGACAGTCGACGCCGTGTTGCGCCTGAGGGCCGTGACCGAAGAGGCCGTGAGCTGTGGCGGCGTGCTGTTGGCGGTGTCACTGGACATCGCCAACGCATTCAATAGTCTGCCATTCAGCTGCATCAGGGAAGCACTCCACTATCATGGGGTGCCAAAGTACCTGAGGCGGCTAGTGGCAGACTATTTAGAGGAGCGTACCGTCGTGTACGAGGACCGAGAAGGTAATTTGAGGTGTCGGCCCATGTCGTGCGGTGTTCCACAGGGGTCTGTTCTTGGACCCCTCTTGTGGAACATAGGGTACGACTGGGCCCTTCGCGCCGATTTCCCCCCCGGGCTGGGTGTAATCTGTTACGCAGACGATACCCTGGTGACAGCCCGGGGGGCAAACTTCCAAGAGGCGGCGCGCCTGGCCACAGGGGGAGTCTCCCTGGTGGTCGGGCGCATTGAGGCGCTGGGCTTACGGGTGGCCCTAGATAAGACGGAGGCCCTGTTATTTCATGGGCCCCGTCGTGGTCCACCCCCTGGCGCCTCCATCGTGGTCAACTCGGTCCTCGTACCGGTTCGGGCCCAGATGAAATATCTGGGCCTGATCCTCGACGGGAGGTGGCTCTTCGACGAGCACTTCCGACAGCTTGCTCCAAAGCTGGTCGGCGCTGCGTCTGCCCTAGGGCGACTTTTGCCCAATATGGGTGGACCCAGCGTCGCGACAAGACGGCTGTACACGGGGGTTGTCCGGTCAATGGCACTGTACGGTGCACCGGTGTGGGCGGCGGCTCTGACCGCCCAGAATAGGGTACGCCTCTGGCGCCCTCAGAGGGTAATGGCGGTCAGAGCCATACGCGGTTACCGCACCGTTTCGACGGAGGTGGCGTGCGCGTTGGCCGGAACTCCCCCGTGGGATTTGGAGGCGGAAGTGCTCGCCGAAGTTTATCGGCGAGTGGCTGACTACCGGGCGGAGAGCGGATTTCGCCCTCCGCCCGAGGATGTGCGCGAGTGGCGCGAAGCCGCTCGCCGAGCCACGATGGCTCGTTGGTCGCTCCGGCTGGAGACTCCACGCGCTGGCTTCGCCGCCGTGGAGGCTCTCCAGCCGGTCATCGCCGAGTGGGCAGGGCGGCAGCACGGGACCCTTTCCTTCCGACTGACGCAGGTGCTTTCCGGGCACGGTTGCTTCGGAAAGTACCTGCACACGGTCGCTAGGAGGGAACTGAGTCCCGCCTGCCACCACTGCGACTGCAGTGAGGACTCGGCCCAGCACACGCTGGCGGTCTGCCCCGCATGGGCGGCGCAGCGCCGGGCCCTCACTGCAGTCATCGGAGTGGATCTCTCGCTACCGGCCGTAGTACGCTCCATGGCCGGTAGCGACAGTTGTTTTACCGCGGTCGCAACCTTCTGCGAGGTAGTAATCTCGCGGAAGGAGGCGGCGGAAAGGGCCCGGGAGGACGACCTCCACTCGGACCCGATCCGCCGCCGGCGAACCGGGCGGCGGAGGCCCGCCTACCACAGCCTCATGCCGCCCTGAGTGTGGCCGCGGGTGGACGGGGTGGGTTTCCTCTCCACCCGCATTAGTTGGCCAGCCGCGAGGGGGCGGCGTCCGCGTGTGCCGGACGTCGCCTAATGAGAGGAAAACAAAAACATTGAGACGGAGCCCGCACCAGGAGCGGGCTGGCGCTAGGAGGGGTCCGGATGTCTTAACAACAGCTGTTCCCGGATCCCTCCTGTTACAGGCGCAGAGTGGCACACCGTGTGGTTTTAGTCGGTCCGAGTCCGACACACCACCCCGCCGCAAACCCCGGAGGGGTGACGGTCCGAGGGGATTTCCACACGTTAAAAAAAAAAAAAAAAAAAAAAAAAAGGGTTTGTGTCAAGGTTTCCCTCTCTCTGCAGTGTTATTGTCCCACGTACTCTTACACACTTACGACACCCACGGGATGAACAGGGGTGGTAACACTGTATTCTTAATCCGTCACCACACGTAATTTTACTGCACAATATTTGATTAATACTCAGTCATATTACAAACCTAAGCAAATCAATATTTTAAAGTTACTTAGTATTACATAATAGTTATATGTGTGCCAAAGTATGGTATGTCCCAACATACGTTATTACACAGTTTTTTTGTGATATAATACTATTAACCCTATTAATTAAATGATGTAATGTGTGTTAGTTACTAGAATAATTGAAGGAAATATCGTGTAATCGTCTATTAGTTAGGGACCTGTTTAAGTATATTGCAAAATTAGAACGGTAAAAAGGCTTTAATGTGGATTTAGAAATATGTTTTAGTTACATGACTGCCTCAGTGGTGCACTGTTAGCACATGCGACTGCTGTGCTGAGGGCTCGGGTTTGATTCCCGAGTCCAAATGGTTGTATGATGTGCAAATATTTGTTTTGGAGTTTTATTAAAAAAGTATATAAGTTTTCTATCAGTCAATCTAGCTTTCATCTGCTTAGTTTGAATCTTGATGGCGTTGCGTGTTAGATGCCCGAAAAATATAACTGCTAATCCTTTATCGCGGTATGAATAATTCTCTGGCCGATTTACATATATACAATTTCCCAACATCTACTGGCAGGCCGCGACCGGCCAGGAATGATTCCTACTGGTCGGAGGATTCTCCCTTTGTGTTGTGAGGGACATGAGACCCATTCCTCCACAAAACCTTCTAAATAAAGTAAAAGTACTAACTTATACTTGAATTATTTTGCTGTATTCATGAGTTTTATTAATTCTCTCGTGCTCTGTGTTAAAAGACATTCGTCAAGGAACCGCTGAAATCATTGTGTTATTAAATCAACCTTCTTCGCAAAAAAAAAAACAAATTTTCGTGATCTTTAATGACCAGAGCGTAATCTTAGCATTGTAACTATGTAACCTCGGCTTTATTTGAGTTTAATTGATTGTCTTTGAGTGAATATACTCATAGAGCTTTATAGAAAGAATATTTATGTAACAGTCGCTTAGGTCTTGTTTCTTTACTTTTGAAATGATTGATTTGATATTTCCAAATAATGACCATTGCAAATGAAATATAATTTTGGAGGTTTCTTTTACAAAAATCAATCTATACTAAGATTATAAAGAGGTAAAGTTTGTGAGTTTGTATGCTCGGGGTAACCTCCGGTACTACTGATCTGATTTAAAAAATTCTTTCACTTTTAGAAAGGTATATAATCCCTGAGTGGTATAGACTAGTTTTTATTTTTTATATTGAACCCGTGCGAAGCCGGGCGGTGGCTAGTATTCAATAAAATATTTGAAGAAAATAAAATATTAGTCTGATTTAATTGCAAATGTTGAAAACTTAAGAATCGTGCAGATAACCGTTTGAGCATGAAAAAAACCTATTATTTTAACATTACAAACAGACACTGCAATTTTATTTATTTGTATAGAGTATAAAAAGCACAACCTGGCTCCCACAAGTTGCTAAGCGACAGCTTGGTAGGCCTAGGCGACGATGGCGGGATGATCTCGACGGCTTCCGAAAAGACTGGTCCGAACTAGCACTCAACAGAGAGATGTGGAAAGGAGAGAGAGAGGATTTGCCCTGCAGTGGGACATATACAGGATAAAAATAAACTTATATAATAAAATCGCAGAAAGCAATATGTGGTAAAGGTTAAAAATCACGTAAAAACAGCTATAAGGGTCCAATTCTATATATTCGATCTCTTATGGCACAGAACGTACACAGAGTGTCATTGTGTAGACTTTGTACCATGATAGATCAAGTTATACTGGTCATAGAAATAAAACATAAAATGCCACGCGATCTCCAGTCTGTTACTCGATGATCACATGTTTTGGTATTTTTAATTCGAGGTTATTGAATTATTACATGTTAATACACACATATGTTATTATATATGTTGCATTGTGGATTATATATGCTAGTATGCTTTACACCTAAAATCATCACCCTGGAAGTGACATAAAAATGATTACCATTATAATAATAACGTATCACCGCTTAGTCAGCACAGCTTACGTCAGACCGCTTACCAACCCAATACCAACTTACAAACTATTTCACAGGAAAAAGTCCCATCCTGTTACCACCGCGGGACTACGACACAGTACACCGACAGAAAGGGAACTTAAACAATATTGATACACGTCGTTGCCTGAACCAAAATATCGTCGGAGTGAACGCGAGGAGGAAACTGGAGTCATCTGGAGGAAGCTCCGGCATCGGGAGTGACTTAGCCCCATCACCAGAGCGGAATGAGTATAGCAGACAACATGACAATCACAGTACTAGTGGTGAGTACATTTAAATATTTTTTAGCCTAGCTGGTGCCCGCGACTTTGTTCGCGTCGAATTTGAAAAGCTGCCTTAATGGGTTCAATTCTCGGGCCGGACAAAATTTGATAGAGTTTTACTGTGAGACATGTAATGTACGCCTTATACAGACAACTACCTGGTAGCAAAATATTTCAAAAATCGATCCAGCCTTTTTGAAGATTACCCGGAACAAACAGACAGATAGATAGACAGACAGATAAAAAATATTTAAACTGGTTTTTAGGCATAGGTATCGTGCAAATAACGAGCATAAACTAAAAAATATTATTTTGACATTACAGACACTTCAATATTATTTATTTGTATGTATATATTTGTATAGATAATATGACAGGCCTGCTCGTCTAGTGATTAGAGACCCTGACTGCTAAGCAAGTTGTGGGTTCGATTCCCACCCAGGAAAAAAAAAGTGTGATGAGTATGATTATTTGTTCTGTGTCTGAATGTCATTTGTTTATATTATGTATGCATTTAGAAATATATTATTATGTTTGTCAGGCCAGTATAAACCAGTCAGGGTAGTGAACTACTAGACCGATAGTCCCGTCAAGGTAATTTATATATTCTATTGCTTTACCCGTAGCTCCATTTCTTCTGTTCTCTTTTTGTGCGAGTCGATATTGGTTGAGAACGCCTCTGGCATTAAGTCCGCCATTGTACATTTTGTGCATAAATAAATTAAATCTTAAGAAATACGTTAATTTCAGTGTAACTGCAAAATCATAAAACGGGTTTTAAAGAATATTACAAAACATAAACATCTTCAGTAATAAATGAATATTGTTTTAACTCAGCACACTTCGATTCGTAAACAATTGCGCCATTCTAATCGGTTTAAGAACTTTTAGTTACTTGTTTTTATTTTACACTTTTTCGTTTTGCCGCCTATACCAGACAGTGCTCCTTATTTTTACCTTCTAATTGTAGCTATTATAAAGAATTTCAACATTTAAAAACAGTCTATTGAACCTTTTAAACTAACCAAATATCCTGACACTTTTGTTTGAAAATTAGCCAATGATATATTCGGTAACAGTCTTTGAGGCCATTACCCAACATATAATTATCCGGTTAAAAATATTAGATGTGGTTATAGTAAGACCGGTAAAATAAGAGTGCGGTTAAAATACATTATAATGTAATAAGTGTTGAAAACAAAACAGGATATCAATAAATAACACGATTGCTTGTATCATTATCTAAATGACTGTTTAGTTTTTTTCAGCTCGTTGGTTAACGAGATGATTCTATGTAAAAAAATATTTCTGCGTTCCAAACTTTGAAGGTTTTTGTTATAAAAACAAGGTACCTCTTATGTGTATTCGGCTCGTACGAGTAGAAGAGGTAATAAGGCGGCAAAATGATTGCTTCCTTTTTAAGCTCTCTTATTTAAAAATATACTAATAACGTAGGACATATACTACTCGTACTAGTATTCTTCTTGAAATCTACGGCTAAACTATCGAAGGATTTAGCATGAGTATGTTCATGTTGGTAGTGAGTCCAAATCTGCGTCAACTTGATTGCAGGACTATTATACGTCACTCGTGTTCTACAATTTTTTCTCTCCAATTGCATCAGAGGTTAAACAACTCCCTAGGAGAGAACATCCTACTATAGAATACTTCGGCGGGTGTTGTTAATAACAACAGGGCGAACTATTGGTTGTAGAAGGCTATGGACTTAAGCTACTTGGCGCTCCCAAGTTGGGGCTCCTAATCTCCATAGGGCCCTTTGCTTTAGTGAAAAAAGCTTATCATAATACTACATCATCCGTGTAGTCAACTAACGTTTATGAGTTAACTAACGTCAGTTCTGTGGTGATAATTATTATTTAACTTAATTGCTAAGTAACTGTACTTGTAGGCCAAATGCTCACCTACCAAGAGCTAAGGGAGCGCAATCTCTTGCAACACACAGTTAGAATCGCAACAAACCTCATCGCATTCGGAACCGCACGACAAACCCACATTACAGAAGTGACATCACCTACCGTGAACTGCCCGTTTACATCACCAGCCACAGAATTGACACGATTACTGTTTATACTGCGTAGAATTTATGTATTTTCAAAAGAAAAGTAGAAATATATCCTGTATTACCGGGGACTTTACACACATTCATGAAACGGACACAAACACCACCCAGACTCAGATAAAACAATTTATGGATCACACAAAGTGTTGTCCACAATTGTTAGGACCAAATTTAAGGTGACAAAGTGTGGGCATCTAATAAACCTGTCTACCTCTTTGTATATAGGCGTAATTGTATGTATGTAATAGGAAGAACGACTATGAGTTAATTCTTATTGTGAAATTGTTTTGACCTTGACCTTTGAATGGGAAAAAATGCTTCAACATAATCGTGATCATGATAGTCATTCACGCTAATATACCTAATGAATTTTACACCAAGTGTTATTAACATGTGTGATCATATTATGTGTCTTTACTAGCTTAAATCCAATGCTTTACTTGCGTTTAAACAGATTTTGATTTATAGGGTAATAGACCATATCAATGATGTAAAACTGTAAAAATCTTTCGAAAATTTTAGATTTTGAAAACATTAAAGTCAAAGTTGATATTTCATTGGACTACGCTGTCATGAGATAGTCTATACGGCACTCGTGAAGCCATGACTTCACTATGTGATATGACGCGGAGACAAATGTTTTCATTTCCACGTGGTATGGTTTTGCGGTTTCTTAGGTAATTCGCCAGTTTATTTTTCTCGTCTACTGCCTCTACTTTGTTATTGGAATGTGGCGAGTTAGCGCTTTGTGTTTCGGGGAATAAAAAACAACGCATCTTCGTTAATTAAAGGCTTTCAATTATTGGTCGCTAGAGGATAATCTAAGGTTGACATGTTGCATATGGGACCCATGGGTGTCAAAAGCTATGGCCGACATCGCGTACAGTCTTACATGATACATATTTTTCCGTAGAATGTGTGAAAACTGGGCTCAAGTGAATTCTTGTCAATATTATAAAGAATGAAACGAGATCTCTTAGCAACCCTCATAGAAAACCCTCATACTCTGCAAATGAAGGCAGAATGATCTAGTAATTAAATCGTTGCTTTTGTAATCACAATGGCTTTTCGTGCAAATTGGACAAATTTCGGGCTCGACTGACCCCGTCAACGCGATCTAAGCGAGAGATTTCATGTTATTTGAAGTTTTTATGTACAAACTTAACAAGATACGTGTAACCGTAAATGTATATAGCGACTTTGTAATATCATTTTAATAAATATGAATGTGTTTTATGAAAAACAATTGTCCTTAGAACATAGTACGTATGCAAATGTTAAACTCACGACTAAATGTGATAATAGACACCAATACAAAAACAATAATATACGTATACGTCTGATTCTCACGTCCGCCTGTGTGTGTAATAGCATATACAACCTTCCAGCAAGTTGAAAATTAAATATTTCTAGTATTGTGTATTATTTTATATAAATGTCAGCAAGTAACATTGATACATTATTTAAATATTAATTCATATGTGTTTTAGAGTTGTAATTTTTGTATAAAAGATACAAAAATATAAGTAACCTCGTACCTATCATAGTACGGCAATTCTATGCAATAATAATTTCACCTATACTGTTCAATCAGATAACACAGTACATTCCTAAAGTGCAGGGCTGACAGCAATAGACATGTCCATATTACGTTAGTGGAATATCATTGGCAATATGTTTTCTTTAAATACGCCTCTGGTTACCTCTTAGGGGATGTAGGCGTGATTGTATGTAACAGCATTTGATAGTCAATTGCTGGACATAGACCTCTCATTAGAAATGAAATTTTGGCCTACTATATCACGCTGGCAGGAGCTGGATGCGAGAAGCCCAAAATTGATCTAAGTGGCGTGCAATGGGAGAGGCCTATGTCCAGCAGTAGACTGCGATAGGCTGATGATGATGATATCACGCTGGCCAGACGGGTGGTTTGTGTCAAGTTTTCCTTCTCTTTGCAGTGCTGTTGTCCTGCGTAGCTCCCTTATTCAGCTCTTACGAAACCCACGGGATGAAGACGTAGTGACACTCGGTATTCTTAATCTGTCACCACACGGACACGGATTTGGTCACAGACAAAGATAAATGCCACCAAAAACTTAAGCAAAGAAAAAATCGATCGGTCAAAGACTACGACCCTTTCGATTACTGTCATAAGTCGTAGTGGTTCTGTAAATTAGTCACAGATGTGATTATGTAAATCATATGATTTATAACAGGTAATTTTGATCTCATTCCATACATAGTATGTAAGGCAATGCCAAACAATTTGAACCGTTAGACAAATCATACACTGAAATATCAAAATGAACACTTAATTAATAGTCTTAACACCATAAACCATAATTATTTCTCGCTATCAATAATGGGAGCGTCTACCTAAATACTTATTAGCTAAATTACAGAACACGATACTGTGTCTATTGTTTCGAATTTCATAAACAAAGAGATCGAAGAAACAACAAGAATGTATTGAAAGGTTTCTGATAATTACTTAACATGAACTTAGATGATCTCAGCTGCTTACAGTTACAGAAAAAACCGCTCAGAGCAGTTTTTTCTGTAACTCCAGGGCAAATTTATTGATGTGTGTGCGTCACCTCGCTGCTTCCTACTGCGCTGAGTGTTCATGGTTCGATCCAAACATGGGACAACACTTTGTGTGATCCACAAATTGTTGCTCTGAGTCTGGGTGGTCTTTGTGTTGTGGGTGATTGTTGCGGGGGACCAGCGACACAGGATATATTCGTAGTGCGGGAGTTGTGTTTTATAAAAAAAAAAACTCCAACCTACCTTACTAGTAAAAGTAAATAGGTGGCTGTATGTAATCACACGTTTGTTAACCAATTCTTGAGCTGCGTTTCATGTATGTCTGTAGTCACGCGACGCGTGAGATATTCCTAATACGGGGATTGTCTTTCTT